AGAAGGTTTTGCAGGGATGAACCTGTCTCAACTTGTTGAAATAGCCCAGAAGGTGTTTAACAACAGGGAAGCACCAGATGACCCCAAACGTATGCCTAAAATAATGGTAGCAGCCATGCAGGAGGAGAGATCAGGGAAGACTAGGGCAAGACAAGGGAGATCAGAAAGAGGCCCACGTAAGGGTTACACACCCCTAGGGAAAAATCAATGTGCCTACTGCAAGAAAGAAGGCCATCGGAAGAATGAATGTCCTGAGAAAAATGGACCAGGGAAACTGCAAGACTAAAATTCTCGTCACTGAGGAAGAGAACTGACGGGGCCGGGGCTCCTACACACTAAGCCCCCAGGAGCCCAGGGTTGCCTTAAAAATGGGGGGCAAAACTGTTAACTTCCTGGTGGACACAGGGGCTACCAACTCAGTGTTACTTGACCCAGGGGGACCAATCTCCAAACAAAAGACTGCCATCCAAGGTGCCACAGGTAAAATACGAGAATACCCATGGACCACTGAAAGTACTGTAGATCTGGGGCGAGGAATAGTGACCCATTCTTTCCCCGTAATTCCAGATTATCCAGCTCCACTTCTTCGTAGAGACCTACTCCAAAAGCTACGGGCTACTATTACATTCGGAGACAGTACACCTCAGATGTCCATGTCTGCCCCATCAACTATCTTAATTACCTGTCCTCTATCCAAAGAGTACCTCCTCTACGAGAAGGAAGAAAATATAGACCCGTCCATGGAGACATTACTAGGCAGACTCCTGGTAGAATATCTAGGGGTATGGGCTGAAAACAATGCCCCAGGGTTGGCTAAGCACCAAGTCCCAGTAGTAGTGAGTTTAACTGCTACTGTGACCCCTGTCCAGGTTAAGCAATACCCGATTGCCCAAGATGCCAAAACTGGTATAAGGAAACATATCCAGCGGCTGCAGGAAACGGGGATTCTCGTGCCATGCCAATCGCCGTGGAACACTCCCTTGCTCCCAGTCCAGAAGCCTGGTACCCAGGATTACCGGCCAGTACAAAACAAGAGAAGTGAACAAGAGGGTTGAAACCATCTACCAGACTGTACCCAACCCGTACGCTCTCTTAAGCTTGTTACCTTCTGAGAGAACTGTTTATATCGTACTAGATTTAAAAGATGCTTTCTTCAGCATTCCCTTAGCCCCTAGCAGCCAGCCTATCTTTGCCTTTGAGTGGACAGACCCTTGGGCCAACTAACCTGGACGCATTTACCACAAGGATTCAAAAATTCTCCTACCCTATTTGATGAGGCCCTAAGTGCGGAACTTTGACCTTTCTGTCAGCGTAATCTTGACCGTACGTTACTCCAGTATGTTGATGATTTATTATTTGCTGCATCCTCTTTCTACCCTACTGCGTGACAAGATCTGGAGATGGGGACAGAGGCTTCAAGGAATGCATCGTCAAGAACGAGGACGTGGCATATGTTTAGGGATAATTGGTTTCTTAGAAATGATCCTATAAATAGGGGGAATTTGGGTAGCACAAATTCTAGTAAGTGTAGACGCTATACAAATAGATTTCCTCAAAATTGGCTCTGAGGAAAACATAGTAAATTCCCTGCGTATGGAATCAGATCTAGTCACCCTGATGTGTCCAGAATGCGTAAACCCTTTATTTGAACAATTATTAAGAGAAATTCCTTTTGATGCGCCTCTTAAAGATATTATGAATAAATTATAACAAGCTGAATTACTGGAACCAGTTTATACTCCTGTTCCCACGCAGTTAGTAGAAAAATTAGTAAAGGATAAGAAATTTACTCATAAGCCTGTGCCTACTATGGAAGGGCCTCCTTTTGTGGCCTAGTGGATAAATAGAAAACTCTGGTATCCACCTAGCGGGGCTAATAGTATGAAAAGATTACCTGATCTTCCTTTGCCTTATACAGGAGCTTATAATAAAGATAGTATACGTATAGTGAATAAAGATAGAATTCATGTGCCTTATAGTAGTTTAAGTTTCATAGAAAAGAAAGGCTGGTCAGGATCTCCTTGGTGCTTAAAAAACAAAGGAACAGAAACTTAGCTTATGAAAGCAGCTTTGTAAAACTGATTTTTATAAATATTTTCTTTTCCTCTGCACCAAGGAAACTTTTGAACAGCTATGAGAAAGGTTCAGCTTGAACTTTAGATATAGCATAAATCAAATAGCATTTAAAAGATTTCTTCAGGCAGAAAGAAGAACAATGTCTGCCCACAAGCCAATGCTTGCTGTTATGAATACATTTATCTATCACCTTTACTTAAATCAAACTGTATCTTACATAATAGATATAAGAATTAAAAGTTTAGATTGTTCCATCAGGTAGTTCTGTTCTAATGATTGAGAGAAGAATGTACTAGTTAATCATGAACATTAATAATAATATACTCTATAAGATTTTCTGCTTTGCCTAACCACAGAAATTTAACTCCCTGCTACCTTAACTACAAAGTATAATCGAATGCCAAAATAAAAAGTATAAAAGTTGTACTCAAATCACAATAAAACGGAACAGTGTCACATCGCCTCTGAGTTGTATAGTCGACTGTCTCCTGCGCCGACGCCTTGCCCATCTTCGGGGCCCCCTGGATCCTGTCGTGGCTGGACCGTGGCAATTATTAGCAGCTGAAACCGAGGAAATCTGTCTCGCGGCAACTAGGGACCTGCTTGGCACCCTAGAGGCATACGGGTACTGGGTCTCGGCTAAGAAGGCCCAGCTATGCACCCAGTCTGTGGACTACCTCAGGTATACACTCGAAGGAGGAAAACGGACTCTATCCCGGCAGAGGATTGAAGCCATTCTTCAGATTCTGGTACCCACCACCAAGAGACAGGTAAGAGAATTCCTCGGGGGGGGCGGCGGGTAGGCTATTGCAGACTTTGGATTCCTGGGTTCGCAGAAATTGCAAAGCCCCTGTACTCAGCAACAGGAGGAAATCAGCCCCTCAATTGGACAGAGACAGAACAGAAGGCCTTTGACCTTCTCAAGCAGGCACTCCTATCAGCCCTACCCCTTGCTCTTCCAGACATCACCAAGGGATTTCATCTTTTTGTAAGTAAGACCAAGGGAATCGCCAAAGGGGTCCTAACCCAAACGCTAGGCCCGTGGCGCCGACCAGTGGCCTATCTATCAAAGAGACTAGACACAGTGGCCTCTGGATGGCCACCCTGCCTACGAGCCATAGCAGCAATGGCTCTCCTAGTCAAAGAAGCTGACAAACTCACCCGCGGGCAAAGTCTAAACATTACTGCTCCTCATGCAGTAGAAGCCCTTCTCCGCAGTAGCCCAGAGTGATGGATGACTAATTCCAGAATCATCCAATACCAGGCTCTCCTCTTCGACCAGCCAAGGATCAGTTTCTCCAAAGTCACTGTCCTCAACTCAGCCAGCCTGTTGCCAGACCCAGACCCCCAGACCCCCATTCATAATTGCATAGATTTCACTGATGCTGTGTGTCCCTCGCGGCCAGACCTCAAGGACTCCTCTCTGCCTGAGGCCGATGAAGTTCTGTTCACGGAAGGGAGCAGCTTCATGCAAGAGGAGGTACGTAGGGGCAGCGGTTGTTACTCTAACTGGCACTATCTGGTCACAGGCTCTTCTCCATGGGACTTCTGCTCAAAAGGCCAAAGTCATCACCCTCACTGAGGCACTAAGTGGGGAAATGACAAGTCAGTCACAATATACACTGACAGCTGATATGCCTTTGCCACTGCACATGTACATGGAGCCATCTATAAGGAAAGAGGGCTTCTGACTTCAGCTGGGAAGGACATCAAGAACAAGGGGGAGATCTTAGCCTTACTTGAAGCCATATGGATGCCTAAGGCTCTGGCGATTGTTCATTGTGAAGGGCATCAAAAACGGTATAGTCCCGAGGCTGAGGGAAACCGACGAGCTGATGCAGAGGCAATAACAGTGGCCACAAGGCCAGTGGGGCCCCCACCACATCTACTGACTGTTGTTCCTTACCCAGAACTGCCTCCATCTCTGACCTATACGGCAGAAGAGGACATATATTTTCAGGACAAAGGAGCCACTAAGAACCAACAGAGGTGGTGGACGACCCCAGATGGAAAAATCGGGCTCTCACAGGCCCTGGGAAGGACTCTCCTCCACCAATTACACCAGACCACACACCTAGGACGTACTAAAGGCCACACACCTAGGGCAAACTAAGATGCTCCAAGCTTTAGACCCCTACTTTCACTTGTTAGAAGGGAGAAGAACTGCAGAGGAGATGGCCTCACGATGCCCGGCTTGTGCCCAAAAAAGGGAAAGATAGAAAAACCTAGGCATAGGAAAAGAGAAACTTGTCCGGGGGACCACTGGGAAGTAAATTTCACTGAGGTAACTCTGACTGTGGGCGGCTACAAATATTTACTTGTTTTTATAGACACCTTTTCAGGATGGGTAGAGGCCTTCCCCACCAGGAAAGAGACTGCCTCAGTAGTTACTAAGAAACCACTAGAAGAAATCCTCCCTCGACTCGGTCTCCCTGGAACTTTAGGGTCGGATGACAGACCAGCCTTCGTAGCAAAGGTGTCACAACAATTGGCTAGCTACCTAAATTTGCAATGGAAACTCCACTGCGCCTACCAGCCCCAAAGTTCGGGGCAAGTAGAGCGAATGAATCGAACCCTAAAAGAGACATTAGTCAAGTTAGGATTAGAAACTGGTGGGACGTGGGTAGAACTTCTCCCCTTTGCTCTTCTCCGAGCCAGGTGTACTCCATATATTAATGGATTTACCTCATTTGAGATTTTCTTTGGAAAACCCCCTCCTTTAGTACCTAGAATAAAAGATGAGAAAAAGGCAGAGTTACGTAATCTTATCTTACTTAAGTCTTTACAGGCCCTTCAAAGTGTACTGGAGGAGATTTGGTCCCGGGTTCGTGCTACCCATTCAGCTCCGGAGGACGGACTTCCCCATCAGTTTCAGCCTGGGGACTCTGTATATCCAGAATTTCACTTCCAAGAAACTAGAACCCAAGTGGAAAGGACCCTTCACTGTCTACCGGACGATGCCCACTGCAGTTAAAGTAGACGGCATCCCATCATGCATCCATCACTCCCACATGAAGGCAGCACAAGAATGGACAGCTGAGGAAGACGGGCCCTTAAGACTAAGACTCAAGTGTACGGCCCTTAAGACTAAGACTCAAGTGTATATAGGTCTAATCCTTTGTTTCTTCCTTTTTTCCTCTTTGGCCCAGGCATACAGAAACATACACCAGCCTAGAGTGAGAACTTATAGTAACCGAAACCGGTCAGATTGTTGCCCAGAACATCACCAGCCACAGTACTCCAGAGATCCAAGTGGACCTATGCCAGAGATACCCTCACCACTACAACGGCCCGACACCAACTTGGATTGGGATCTTTCATAGGTAGAGCTTTCGTAGTGGGTGGAGCATAGTTAGGCTACAAAGGGAGACCTGGCTGTGGCATATTATCGGCAGAGAAAAGCCTCTTAGGAATAGGGCTCTATATTTTCCTCAAAGAATATCTGGCAGCATGAGGAATAGGGGACTCAACTGTGAAGGAAAAGGCCAATTTTCTTGTGCTAACTGGGGTTGTGAAACTATCTCTACTATAGATAATTATAAAAAACAGAATGATAATCATATTGGGTTAATAAGAGGACCAAGCCCTTCTACATGCTCTCTTGGGTCCTGCAATCCCCTCATAATCACCATCAAAACCAGTATCCTTGGGGGACAACACTATTGGCTCATGGGACAGACCTGGGGTATCAGATTGTATAAAACTGGATATGATTCAGGATCATATTTTACTATACAGGTTAAGGACCCTCCCAGAAAAGCTCACCCTATAGAGCCCAACAAACCACTTCTAATTCCAGGACTACCCCAAAGTCTTACAGGAGTTTCCCGGGCAACCCCGACTCCGGCTCTAGCCTCTTCAGGTAGTAGCCTAACAGCTATTAAACCCCAGACATTTGACCAGCCACAACCAGAACCCGAAGAAGAATTCATAACTATGTTAACAACAATACACAAGGTCTTAAATAAGACCTCCCCAGACACAGGGCAGGATTGTTGGTTGTGCCTAAACCCAAAATCCCCTTATTATGTTGGGGTAGGAACTCCCCTAAACCTGACTGAGCTCAGCAGCGCACATGATTGTGAATGGGAAACTCCTCGACTCACTTTGGGAGACATACAAGGAAAAGGAACTTGCCTGATTTCAAAGAATTATTCCAAGCTGTTGGCACAGTCGCCTTACTATGATAACTGTAATCGTACTATCGAAGTACCTACCTCAGGAAATAAATACTATAAGGCTCCAAATAATACCTGGCTAGCATGTGATAACGGGCTCACTCACTGTGCTGCATCTGTTCTTTTCAACACAGGTGAAGCTAATATTTGTATCCTAGTCTTTGTACTCCCCCAAGTGTCCCTTTACAATGGGCCGGAAGGCAGGCTCCATTTCTTCTACTGGGACAGGTTACAGAAACGGGCCGTACCAGTCTTAGTATCCCTTTTTGTGGGTCTCGGAATAGCGGGCTCAGCAGCTGTAGGTACTACTGCTCTCATCAAGGGAGAAAATGAATTACGTGAAATTGGAATACAGATAGATAAGGATATCAAGACCTTAAAAGGCACCATTGGCAGGCTAGAACTTCAAGTCTATTCACTAGCAGAAGTAGTCCTCCAAAATAGAAGAGGTTTAAATTTATTATTCTTAGAACAAGGTGGGTTATGCATGGCTCTAGGTGAAACCTATTGCTTCTATGCCAATAACTCTGGAGTAATTAGAGAAAGCTTACGACTAGTACAGAGAAATTTGGATGCCAGGGAAAAACAGAGACTAGAATCAAATAACTGGTTTCATAGGATGTTCAATTGGTCACCATGGCTAACAACTCTTCTAGCTGCTATAGCTGGACCTTTAATCATCCTCCTCCTTTTGTTAACTTTTGGCCCGTGTTTCCTTAATTTCTTGTTTGCATATATAAGGAAAAGAATTAATTCTATTAGACTTTTAATATTACAGACTAGAGGCTATGAGCAAATTCCGCATGAAGAATCAAAGATTTGATTTTTGCTAAGGCCAGTGGGGAATGTGGTGGCTGAAAAATGACTACTTGAGATTTATTACTTGTAGGAAATTACTGTTTACTATCGCCATGGGAACAAAAGGCTTTTGATCATAGGGACATAACATTCTGATAACAAGCTTTCTGCTTCTGTACTCCCCGCTTGCACACCCCGACCTATAGATTGACAGGTAGTGAATAGGAGAAAAATAGACCTTTCTATTCCAACAGAATGAAGAATGGGATTTTGGGCTTAAAACCCTGTACCTCTACATTTCGGAGCTGCTTAATTTGGGGTCTGCGTACCCCTGGCAGACCCGGCTGGCTGAATAAAGAGTGTGATTCCTATGACTCACTGATTCCTGGTGGTCCGTGTGTCTATTGGGGGCTGGCGGCTACAACATTATCACAGTCAACACTTCCCTGTCAGTCGACTGGGTGCTTATGAAGAACTGCTTTCTGCACCTAATATTTAACTCGATGTAACAGTCCTAACCCAGCAACTTTATTACCCTCGTTACAGGATGAAGACACTCACAATTGTGTTTCGCTTACTGACTACCTTCTTGTTCCTACGAATGGTTTACAGGAAACTGATATTTCATTCCTTTAATATAGTTTTTTCTCTGATTCAAGCTGGTTTTATGCAGAAAATGGCATTGTGACTCACTTGTTTACCCACTCTTATCCTTCTCTCTCTGTATGCCTGCTCCTTTAATCATTAAGCCTTTGGACATAAGATTAATGGAGCCTCAGGTCTATAATCATGAAGACAGTAAGTTTAGGTTACACTAAGGATAACATCTTAGCCTTAGATGTGTTTCAGCTCCAAACCCTTCAAGGTAGAACAAACCCCTGGCATGGGACCAGATGGGATGGCGCCATGGCTGGCTGATTCCAGAACAGAACACAATGATCAATTACCCCAGCCCCCTCCAATCATCTAATCAGTAGTATGTACATCTACAACTCCCTTAATTTCCACGACTACTGATTTTTCCCTATATAATATGTACTCCTCAAATGCTCCCAGAGAGCCAGGTTGTTGAGAGCAATAGCTCACATGGGTCCCCGGGACTTGCAACTCTAAAACAAACCTTTCTTTGCTGCAAAACCTGCATGTATCTCTTCTTTGACTCAGATGTGTGCAGGCAAACAGACCCCTTTTGCTCCAGTAACAAGATCTGCCCAGCAAGCCAAATTAATTGCTCTAACTCAGGCTTGTCAATTGGTCCAAAATCAAGTAGCCAATATTTACACTGATCATCACTATGCCTTCGGTGTAGCCCACAACTCTGGAATGTTATGGAAGAAGTGAGGCTTCTGAACTTCCTCAGGGCAGCCTGGAAAACAAGTGGCAGAATTATTAGATGCCATACAAAATTCCAGGACATCCTAAAGCTGCCAACAAGGAAGCAAAAGGAAATAATTTAGTGAACACTGCAGCTAAACAGGCAGCACTGAGCAACCAAATTATCCAGACCTGAGAATTCTTGTTTCTTATTAAATCAATAAAAGACTATCTTTTACAGTTCCAACACAGAGTTACAGAAGAGGATATGACAATAAAAAGGGGGAACCTTCAACCCGCACAAAATCCATATGGTTTGGATCCTATTAGAAACCAATCTTACCTACAAGAGCTCAACTGTCTGTACTTCAGCAAGTACATGAGCTAACACACTAGAGTCCTGAAAAGATGATTTCATGAAGTAATATTACTAGAAATCTTCTCTCACTATAGCTCATAAAGTGTATATATAGCACATGTTCTATCTGTCCAATATAATCCAGGAAAACCATTCCATGGGTCCCAAAGACATGTCCCACTTCCTTTACGTCCATCTGAGGTATGGCAATTGGATTTTAAATATATATATATTAGTTATGATTTGTATGTTTTCTCACTGGGTTGAGGCTTTCCCTTGTAGGAGAGCAACAGCCTTAATGGTAGGTAAATTGTTATTGGAAAAAATAATCCCCATTAAGGAATTCCCTCTGAGTTATATAGAGGGAATGGCTGATTCCAGAACAGAATCAGAACAGAACCAATCTGGAATCAGAACAGAACCAAGAGATTAAGAATACTGGGCAAATAATGCAACCCATCTGCAACATCTAGCCTATTCTACAGCATTTTCATTGTGCTTACCGGCCCCAGTCCTCCAGATTGGTGGAACATACCAATGGTACAATCAAAATTAACTAGCTAAAATTTCAGGAACTTTTAATCTCCCCTAGCCGAAAGCTCTCCCTATGGTGCTCCTCAACAGGAGATCTACTCCTTTGGGTAAACATAGCCTTTCTCCTTAGAAATAGTCACTGGTCGCCCTATGGATGTGGATGAAAGGGCACGTGAGCCAACCTTACTAAAAGGAAACATTCTACACAATAACATCAAGGGTGTATTAAGCAGCTTAATGGGATTGATAAATTAGTAACTGATTCATTTTAAGTGTACTTCCAGGAGACAAAGATTTCAAAGACCCTGGCTTACAATCAAGATTTGGGCTATTGGAAAAGGCATCAAATAAAAGACTCTTCTCCAACGTCATTGGAAGGGACCTTATCAGGTGTTACTAACTAATCCATGTGCAGTCAAATTTAAAAGGGGTTAACTCATGAATTCACATTTCTCATTTTTAAAAGGTGCCTAATTGTGAGTGAACATCTACACCTGCCTCTGACACTTGCCTCTGCCTTCAGTGCATATCAAAGGAACTCTTCAAGGATGAGAAGCTGCCGACATCAAAGGCAGATAGCTATACCAAGACATCAAAAAGGCCTGTATGCCCACGAACTGATGTTGAACACTGGGACATTTGTTTAATCATTTTTTGTTGGCTAATAATAAAAAATTTATTATTTGAACTTCTCTCAAACCTTGCCTTATATCATCTAATTATTAATAATCAATAAAGATACATATAATGAATCATATATTATTATCCTTCTTATGGTTTCCTAATGAAAACAATATCCATCTCCCCAAACCTCCTCCTTTATTGGATATGAAAATTTTAACTTGGGTACCTGCTAATCTCTCCCATCTACTAGACAATGATATTTTGATTATCCAGTAAGATAATGAAGTTAATGTTTTGTTAGCCATGCAATGGTCTTCTCCTACTATTAATGTAGTACTTTGGTACATTTTTCTCTAGGTATATCTATTACAAAGGATCCATCTTGGGCAAATGCCTTCGAGAACATCTCCCTGATAATTCTCCTGGTAGAATTATATACGAATCCAATTTAGATAAGCATTGCATAGCTATAGAAATGGATGATAAAAAAAATTAAGAAAAATATCTGGATATGAGGGAAAAGACTTGAAGCAGCCTGCCCAATCTGGCATAGTATATCTATCTAGTCCTTGGATTGATCAGCCATGAAATGGGTTCCCATTTCAGAAATATTTTAGATGTTTGTGGAAAGCCCTATGGAATATTTGAACTCTACCTCATTTTGGGGTTACCTCTACTCATTTAACTATAGCATGGGAAACTCAACATTTTGGGGGCCATCCAGTATACCCAAATTGCTCCCAGGCCATAGCCACCCAATGGCAACAACATGCCTTGTGTATCCAACACTGACCCTCTGTAAGAAATAAGAGGGGACTACTTGGAGGATTAAGAGCTAGCCTTGATATTCTGGGACAAGCTGAATTTACAGTTAATGAAGAATGTCATTTGTTAGAAAAAGATTCTTTACTAAAATAGTTCATATGAAAGAAATGTTCTTTCAAGAAAGAAAAGAAAGGAAAGCAGCACGGAAAGACAATGAGGCTTTAGTTTAACGGATAAAATGGACACAACAGACTATAAAAGCTCGTGCACAAATCCAACAATGGGAACATGCCTATGCCCTAACTCAACAGGGCCTATTATCTATGCTACTGCAAAAGGAATCTGAAGTAGTTATGAAAAAAATGACCTACTATAATGGGTTTAGAAACTCAGGCTGGACACTTATGGGACTCTTATGGTCCTCCTGGACTTTGGGAAATTTTAGATGGAAAATGTGATCTATGATATTGTATCAAAAGCCCAGGCATTTCGGTTAAATCATAAACTAAGATTTTTCAGAGCTGGTATAGAGACCATCCTTAATAACATTAGAATACTTCCAATGGGAAGCAGATGGAGCATATTAAAACGTAAAAGCAAATGGGAACCCATCTCATTATCCGATTGAAAAAATCAGAAAGGTAAATGGTTATGTCCCCAATTTATATGGAATTCTGAATTCACCCAATTCTGGCCTATTGTCTCTACCCTCAACAAATAATAATATATGATATATAGGAAAGGGATGTTTTTGTTGGAAAAGATTAGAAATTTCTTCTATTATACTAAGTGACTTCTACTGTAATGACATCAAGCTTTATTAAATGCTATGAGAATATGGTATAACGCTGAAATTAAAGGCAAAATAACTTTGAGGTTAATGAAACCTATGATACTATTGATACTGAAAATATGTATTGGGAAACTGAATTTAATCCTCCTCATGGAGTCATTTCTAAGAAAACTAATTGGCCAGAAAAAAAATTAGATCTACTGCATCATTCACCTGGCCACATTTATCATAAGATACAAAAGGCAGTAAACAAGGGAGGAAAACATTATTATCTAAATGAAAAATTATGATGATACATGTAAAAGTTTCTTTGGATAGCTGGATATTTGTTTCCCTCAGACTTGTTCTTATCTAGTATTATATATTTTCTGTTCCTAATCAGTGTTATTGGTTTACGTTATACTAGATGCAAAAACGAAACTAAAGACAAACATCAAAAAACTCAGATCATGATAGCTCAAAGAAAAAATGATACAGAATATTTTTAATGAAGACATATAGGATCAGACTGCCTCCCATTCACTTGCCTTTCCTTTTGAAAATTTGGCCTTGACTACCATTCAAGGTTAGTCTTACTCCATCCCCAATAGTCTACCATTCAGCAAGACAAACATTGACTCTAAGACAATCTAGGAATGAGGCTTCCTATCACTGTAGGACCACATTACCCAACCAAAAGGCTGGTCATCGATGCATCCTTCAGGTTGATTTATGATCAAAATGGGAATTGTGGATGAAAAAAGGGGCCACATATTAAACCTGACAAGCTCAGAGGAGGCCTGCATGTTGGGATTTACAAACCCAAAGACCAAAGTAACCACATAGGAAAACAGTATGGAGAGTCCTAAAAAAAATTAAAAATAGAACTACTTTATGACCCAAAACACAAATGTGAAAAGTTATATGCATCCCTGTGTTCACTGCAGCACTATGCACAATAGCCAAGCTACAGAAGCAACCTAAGTCAGTAGACTTTAGATTGCGTGTGTGTGTGTGATGGACTATTGGTCATAAAAAAGAATGAAATCTTGCCATTTGCAACAACATGGATATTATACATAGACATAGATATTATATATAGACAACATGGATATTTTATATAGACAACATAGAGAGTATTATGCTAAGTGAAATGAGTCAGACAGAGAAAGACAATTACCATATGATATCATTTATATGGAATCTAAAAAGCAATACAACTGAATGAACAAAATAGAAACAGATTCATAGATACAGAGAACAAACTAATGGTTGCCAGATAGGAAGGGGGCTGGAGGGCTGGGAAAAAAGGTAAAAGGAGTAAGAAGTACAATTGGTAGTTATAAAATAATCACAGAAACTTAAAGTATAGCAAAGGGAATATAGTTATAGAATAATATTATAATAACTACATATGGTGCTAGGTAGGTACTAGACTTACTGGGGAGATTACTTTGTAAATTATACAGATGTCTAAACACTATGCTATATACCTGAAACCAATATAAAATAATATTAAATGCCAACTTCAATTAAAAATAAATAAATAAATTTTAAATTAAAAAAAAAATAATTACACGGGGTAGTCTGAACATAAAAATTCCTAACTCAAATTGGGTTGTGGTAGGTAGTCACATCTCAGACCTGTAGCTTCCTTGACAAATTTTTAACTTTGAAATTCTCTACTGTCTTTCTGCGCCTAAGATAACATGCTTTTGGAATGTAAGAGTATTCTTTTCCAGACCCTTTCTAAGGCACAACAGCCCCAGTACTAGCACATGAGACCACACTGCTATCTTGTTGCTGACACACCATCTTTATGTACTATAAATGTTAACTATCTTGTACCCACCAATGTAAGAAGTGTGTGTCTCCTCATTTTGCTTTTTATCCAATCTAAGATTTCCCCACTTTGCTTTCTCCTGCCTCCCTAATCTACCACCAATGAATTTCATGTAACCCTCCTTACATCTTCTCCATTGATTCTAATGTATATAACAAGCTGTAAAACTGCCATTGTCAGGAGCAGTATCTTAATCCATTGAAATTTTGCTTCCCAAAAATTGTCATCTTACAAAGCTTTTTCTTGGGCTGGACATTCTTTCACCAATATTATAAATTAAAATCCATTAGATTAGCCAAATTATTATAAATTATTAGGAATATGGGCAGGGATGTGGAGAAATCAATACCCTTCTACACTCAAGAGGATTGCAGAATGATACATCCAATCTAGAAAATAATGTGGTAATACCTAGTCAAACAAAGTATTATTACATCTGGTGATAAAGCACTCCCAAGAAATTCTCATTTCCCATTAGAAAATTGCTCATGAAGAAATCTACTGCAGTACTGATTACAGTAGCTGGGAAGCTGGACAAGTAAAATGTATATATACACACTATGGAATGCTATGTTTCAGTTAGAAGCAATAAACTAGAAATACACATTGCAACATGAACCAATTTAGTGCTGAGAGAAAAAAAACTGAGTAGGATATATAGCATTTCTATAAATAAAAACCAACGATTTAAATTTTACAGACACCCCACAAATTCGAGCAAACAAATTAAATATATTAGAGCAGTTTTATCCTCTTGGAAGGATAAAAGTGAATATGGGAGTGAGGACTAAAGGGAATAAATAAAGAAAATAAGAGGAGACTATCTTATCTAAAACACATCGATGATGATATTGACTACTAACTGAAAATTACGATTAACTCCATTTCATGCACACAGATACAAAAACTTTTTGTAAAACATCAAAATAAATTAATTAGAAAGACTAAATCAGTGTTGTGTTAAACTAGCCAAATAGGAAGACAATGTCAATAAGTATAGTTACTAAAGTAATATACCAAATGTAGGTAATGGTACCCTCAAAGTCAACAGTTGGAGATGATAAAATAAGGCCACCACTAAATGACAATTTTGAAGCACTAAGGGAAAAGAGAGGAAACCAGTAAGAGTGTGACTCACAGTAATTTTTTTAAAGGCAAATCTATGAGTATCTGAATGTGTGAAAAAAAGATTTAAGATCTTGATGGAGGTAAAAAAAAGAATAAAAATGCTAGAGAAAGGGAGAAAACACATAAAAGCAGGACCGAAAACACAAAAAAGCAGGACCCCAGACCCAAACTATCAGTAATTTATAGTACATTCTTTCCTAAAAAGTCAAGCAAAGAAGAATACACTGATATGGGAAGGGGCCTCAAAGTGCGGATGGCATTTAGATATCCATTGGACCAATATCAATTCTATCCAAATAGTTCCAAAAGTTCAGAATGTTACAGAAATGTCATATTAACAGCACTTCAAAGTTGCCAGTCTCTGACAGTATAACTGCAGTTCAGTAGTACTGCCTATTATGCTCTTGGTTCCATACTCACCTAGACAGCTCTGACGTGAGATTTTACGATGCAACATACATGGGTTTTCTACTTGCTCCAAGTTGAAAATGACTTCTGGTTTGGGAACTTGACACCCTATTGTAGAAAATGATAGAAGACTTGGTTTGAGGTAATACAATGAAACACTGTTCACCATTTACTTTTCAGAAAAGTTCATGGTGAACAGTGATATATTCATAATACTCCAAAGAGTTTATTAAAAACATAGGGCAAAATATGAAGAAAACTATTACACACTTCAGATGTGTGGCAGCATTAGAAGTCCCACATAAATCAGAAACCCCAGATTTCAGAAATTCTACTGAGAAAGAAACTACACACAATTAAGTACAGCCTTACACCCAGCAGAGCTGTGCTTACCCACTGAGATCAAGTTGAAATAGTTTTCCAGCATTACATCCCTGTAGAGGCTTTTCTGAGCAAAGTCCAATTGTTGCCACTCCTCCCAGCTGAAGTCTATAGTTACATCTTTGAATGACACTGATTCCTGTAAAAATACATTCATATTCAGCATTGAAGGATGGAAACAAGATATTTAGAAACTTACTTTTAATAATGATACAATATAGAAGGTTCCCACTAAACACCTACATCTTACATTAATATTTTGAAGGAAAAGGAAGTCTCGTTTAAAATATTATGCCAATAAGTCGAAAACATAGCGAAATGAGAGACGTTCCCAGATCTTTCTCCTTGAAACAATAATAAGCTGAACATCTAAAACTCAACAAAAAACACACAAACTGCACATCAGCATGTCTGAGCATGGGATCCATGCATAAGAGCTACCACAGGTCAGAACACCGGGTGTCGGGCAGTGGACTGAAAGAAAAAACGCAGCAGCCTCTCACAGCCGCTGGAGCTCCCTGAAGGAAGAGGAAGAGGGGAGAAGGTGCGATGAGTTCCCTGAACAGACCCGTCTGGGAGGGCTATGAGCTCCACGCGGCCGGCAGCAGTGCCCAGGGACCAGGGCAGAAAACAGAGAACTGGAAATGGCAGAGAAACAACAGTTGATTATTACCAGCCCCAGTTGCAGAATGCCAGGTTAAGCTGCAACCCTTACTATGAGCAGGGCATTATAAGCTTGAAATAAGAAGAGATTTGCTATAGCAAGATAGTAATGAACATTCAGCACACATAGGGACAAATTGAGACAATGACTGAAAAGGGGAGGATTCAAAGATCCAAATTCATAAAGGGGAATGGAGATAAGGCACACGGAAAAGAAAAGGGACAACTGTATATAAACAACTATCCTTTTCATATCTGTAATGGTAACCACACGCCAAAGATTCAGAGCTTAAGTATATAAGAAGGACCAGAGAGAAAACCCACAAGAGCCAACCAAAATAAAGACTACAGAAACACAAAGACAAGGAAGCAATGGAAACACCAAACAACCAGAAAGCAAAAGATAAAATGGCTATAAGAAGACCTCATATTTCAATAATCACCCTAAATGTAAATAGACTGAACTCATCAATAAAAAGACACACAGTCGCAGACTGGATGAAAAAACAAAACCCAACCATATGCTGCCTCCAGGAGACACATCTCAGTTCCAAAGACAAATACAGACTCAAAGTGAAAGGGTAGAAAATGATATTTCAAGGAAATGGCATTCAGAGAAAAGCAGGACTGGCAGTACTAATATCGGACGAAATAGACTTCAAAATCAAAAAGTTAAAGAAAGATACAGAGGGATACTTCATAATGATGAAGGGAATCGTGCACCAAGAAGATATAACACTTATTACTACCTATGCTCCCAATCTATTAGTAAAGCAATTACTAACAGAACTAAAGGGAGAAACAGACCAAAACACTATCATAGTAGGGGACATAATACCCCACTGTCAGATATAGACAGATCATCCAAACAGAAAATCAATATGGAAATAACATCCTTAAATGATACATTAGCCCAACTGGACATAATTGACATTTATAGAGCCTTCCATCCCAAAACAGTTGCTTATACATTCTTCTGTAGTGCACATGGAACATTCTCAAGGATTGACCACATACTGGAACACAGAGATAGCCTCAACAAATACAAGATCATTGAAATCATACCAACCATATTCTCTGATCAGAATGCTTTGAAACTAGAGATCAACTGTAAAAAGAAAGTGGAAAGAACCACAAATAAATGGAAATTAAACAACATACTACCAAAGAATAACTGGGTCAGAGAAGAAATAAAAAGGGAGATCAAGAGATACGAATGATAATGATAGTACAACATATCAAAACTTTTTGGATATGGCAAAAGCGGTCATAAGAGAAAAGTTCACATCATTACAGGCCTACCTCCAAAAACAAGAACAAGCCCAAATAAACAACCTAACATTTCATCTTAAAAAACTAGAAAAGGAGGAACAAATGAAGCCTAAAGTCAGCAGAAGGAAAGAAATCATCAAAATTAGAGCAGAAATAAATGAAATTGAAAACAAACAAAAAAAAAAAATAGAAAAAAATAAATGCAACAAAGAGCTGGTTTTTTGAGAAGGTTAAAAAACTGACAACCCCCTTGCTAGACTCAATAAAGAGAAATGACACAAATACAACAAAATCAGGGATGAAAGAGGGGAAATTACGACAGACACTGCAGAAATACAAAGGATCATACAAGAATACTATGAAAAAGTATATAACACCAAATTCAATAACCTAGAAGAAATGGACCAATACTTAGAAAAATACAACCTTCCTAGACTGAATTAAGAAGAACTGGAAAATCTAAATAGACTGATCAGCAGTATGGAAATTGAAACAATCATCAAAAACCCACCAAAAAGTAAAAGTCCAAGACCAGATGGCTTCACCAGTGAATTCTACCAAATATTCAAAGAAGTTTTAATATCTATTCTCCTCAAACTCTTCCAAAAAATCGAAGAGGAGGCAATACTTCCCAACTCATTTTATGAAGTCAATATTACCTTGATACCAAAACTTCGTAAAGATGACACAAAAAAGAAAACTACAGACCAATATCTCTCATGAACACAGATGCAAAAATCCTAAATAAGATACTAGTGAACTGAATACAGCAACATATTAAAAAGATTATACACCATGATCAAGTGGGCTTCTTCCCAGAGGCACAGGGATGGTTCAGTATATGTAAATCAATTAATGTGATACATATACCACATAAACAAATTAAAAAATTAGAATCATATGATCATATCAATAGATACAGATAAAGCCTTCAACAAGATACAGCACTCATTTATGAACAAAACATTTAAAAAAATCGGTACAGAAGTAAAGTACCTTAACATAATAAAGGCCTAATATGACACGCCTTTAGCCAACATTATACTTAATGCTGAAAAACTAAAAACCTTCCCTCTAAGATCAGGAACAAAGCAAGGCTGTCCACTATCACCACCGTTATTCAATATAACATTGGAGGTCCTAACGAGTGCAATCAGGCAAGAGAAAGATATAAAAGACCTCCAAATAGGAAACAAAGAAGTCAAACTGTCACTATTTGCAGATGACGTGATTCTCTATATAGAAAACCCTAAAGACTCCACAAGGACACTAGTAGAAACAATAAACAAATGCAGTAAAGTTTCTGGATACAAAATCAACGTTCAAAAATCCATAGCATTCCTATACTCTAACAATGAAGTGTCAGAAAAAGAAGTGGAAAAAATAATTCCTTTTGCAATTGCAACAAAAAGAATCAAATACCTAGGAATAAATCTAACGAAACATGTGAAGGACCTATATAATGAAAACTATAAGACCCTATTAAAAGAAATAGAAGATACAAAGAAATGGAAAGATATTCCATGTTCTTGGATTGGAAGAATCAACATCGTTAAAATGATCTTATTATTTAAAGCATTATACAGATTTAATGCAATCCCCATCAAAATCCCATCAGCTTTCTTTAAAGAAATAGAACAAAAGCCATCAGACTTGTATGGAAGTACAAAATACCCCAAATTGCCAAAGCCTTCCTGAGAAAAAAGAACGAGGCTGGAGGCAACATTCTGCCCAACTTTAAATTATACTATAAAGCAACAGTAATCAAAACAGCATGGTATTGGCAGAAAAATAGACACACTGACCAGTGGAACAGAATCGAGAGTCCAGAAATAAACCCATATTTATATGGGCAAATAATTTTCAACAAAAATATACAGTGGAGAAAGGAAAGCCTCTTCAATAAGCGCTACTGAGAAAACTGGAGAGCCACTATCCCTGTGGCTGTCTCTGTGTCCCAGAATGAAACTAGAGTGTTTTCTATCACCACACACCAAAATTAACTGAAAATGAATTAAGGACTTAAATATAAGACTTGAAACAATAAAATGCATAGAAGAAAACATAGGAACTAAACTCAAGGACCTTGGACTTAAAGAGGATTTGATGAATTTGATCTGAAAGGCAAGGGAAGTAAGAGCAAAAATAAATGAATGGGACTACATCAAACTAAAAAGCTTCTGCTCAGCAAAAGAAATCATCAACAAGGTAAAGAGACAAACATCTGAATGGGAAAAAATATTTGCAAGCAATGCCTCCGATAAGAGCCTAATATCCAAAATATACAAAGAACTCATACAACTCAATAACAACAAAAAATCAAACGATCCAATCAAAAAATGGGCAGAGGACCTGAACAGACACTTCTCCCTAGGGGACATACAAATGGCCAACAAATACATTAAAAGATACTCAACATCGCCAGCTATTAGGGAAATGCCAATCAAAATCACAATGAGATACCGTCCCACACCTGTTAGAATAGCTATAATCAACAGGACAGGTAATAAGAAATGTTGGAGAGTATGTGGAGAAATAGGAACCCTCATACACTGCTGGTGGGACTGCAAATTGGCACAGCCACTATGGAAAACAGTATGGAGGTTCCTCAAAAAACTAAGAATTGATCTACCATATGATCTAGCAATCCCTCTACTGGTATTTATCCCTAAAGACTTGAAAACCCATATCTGAAAAGACATTTGCACACAGATGTTCATAGCAGCATTATTCACAGAGTCCAGGACATGGAAGCAACTGAAGTGTCCTACAATAGATGACTGGCTAAAGAACCTGTGGTACATATATACAATGGAATATTACTCAGCCATAAGAAGAGATGAAATACTGCCATTTGCGACAATATGGATGGACCTAGAGATAATCATGCTAAGCAAAATAAGCCAGACAGAAAAAGTTGAAAATTACATGATATCACTTATATGTAGGATATAAAGCTAAAAGCAACAAGTGAACAGGACAAACAAACAGAGACTCATGGATATGGACTATAGACTAGTGGTTAGTAGAGGGTAGGACTAGGGGGAGCAGGGGAGGTAGACGGGGTTAATGGGGTCAAATGAGTGGTGACAGAAAGAAATCTAACTATGGGAGGTGAACACACAGTGTAAATATATATATATACATGCCTTAGTGTTAAAGTGTACAGATGAAACTTATTGGATTTCGTTAACCAATGTCACC